CCCCCCCCACCCACACACACACAAGTTAGTTAAGTTAAAGTTAGTCACTAGTGTCTCAGCTGGTGTAGTTATGTATCTATATATTACTCATGCAGTTCATCTAAACAAAATTAAAATATAGAGAAGGAATTTAGCTGACAAAGTAGCTTATAACGAATTCAGGGAAGGCGACAAACTGAGAAATGACATGACAGGATAAGAAATATAAATCATGAGTTAATGTTGAAAAGCAGTAAAACTATAAATAAAGAATCCAAAGGTAAGCAGTTTTACCAAGTGCATGGAGCAATCACGAATTGGTCATTCTGAGTATCATATGTCTCTAATAATCTTCCTTCCCAACTACGGTCCTCGAAAGCTGCAGTCACTCGTATTCTCCTAACAACTTCATCAGGACATCTTGTTGTTGCATCAAAGTTTGCTGGAAAAATAGACCCAGTGGCAGTTTCCACCTAAGCAAATGAATTTTGAAAAATTTAAGAATCTCCACTCTAAAAAGATCTGCAGTTGCTGAGAAAATTATACTCGAACAATCGTTTCTTTGTTACAGAGGAGAACCAAAAAGTATAGATGATCAACCGACTGACTCAAGGCTCAATCTATAATCCCCTGGATGTTTTCAACATGCCAGTCAGTAATGGCGAGAAAACCCAATAAATCATTCTCCTTTTCGTGTTAGTTAATGTTTACTTTCCATCTCTATATGTATCCGTTCTTGACTTCTTTTTTTTAATCAAGTAATAAGATTTTGTTAAGAATTGAGAAAAAAACCTGTATACAAGAAGTATACCCAAAGTAGAAAACCTTACAAAAAGATATGGTTTCCTACAAACGACACAGAGTCCTCTAGAACCCCACTTGTGGGACTACACTGGGTATGTTGTTGTTGTTGTTGACACAGAGTCCTCTACACTTACGGAAACCTCATGGGTGCAACAACAAGAAACAAGGGATAAGAGGCTATTCCTCAAGTGAACAAAATCTTTCTCTATTCAGTCAAAAGCTCTCCTACTTTCTCTCTCTCCATATGGTCCACATAAGTGCTAGTGGAGCAACATCCCACGCCCTGTGTCTTCTCTTTCATCCACTAAAGGTCCAGCTAAACAAAACTTCTCTGACCGTGCCTGGATTCACCAATTGAAGACCAAACAAACACAGTATTTCCCACCACAAGCGAGACGCCATCCAGCAATGCAAAAGGAGGTGATTCAAGTATTCACCCGAGCTCTTATACATGAAGCACCTGCTCACACATGTGTCCTCTTCCTCAGATTCTCAGCCGTCAAGATTTCCCCCGTCGCAGCTAGCCACGTGAAAAGCACATCTTTCTCAGAACCCTAGGGATCCACACCGAGAGGTATGGAAAAGAAGATTCCCCACTACCCAAAAGATTCACAATAGGACTTAACAGAAAAAAACACCATTATTCCCTGCCCCCTCTCCAAACATCATAGCGAGCCTGTGGACACTTTATTCATAAAGCAGCTCAATCAACCTTTGGAATCATGTTACCTCCCAATCTTGCAAGTTCCTCCTAAAGCTCAACTTTCGATGAACTTCTCCACCTTGAAGTCTTTGTATCCATTGAACAGACATCTCCTTTTGGACATTGCATCTTGGAATATTGAGGTATCATGACTGTATAATAAAGGCTATCTTTTTTCTGAAATGGTGAACTCCCCTACCCAGGAGCCGAATAATGACAGTCTTTTCCCACTTTGCTCCGTTGGTGATTTTACCACTAAGCTTTCCCTCCCTTGTCCTGTGATAATCAGCGCTATAAACTAAACTGAAATCCAAAATAGAGCTTACCAGCAAACCAGAGAAGATGGGGTATGAATTTCCTTCAGAATCTCGTCTTGTATTGTGCCCAAGAACATGAAGAGTGTGAATCTGGAACTTCATATTACTCTTTGCCAGGCTTTCAAGTATTTTCTTGCACAAAGGGAAGGAATAGCCCTCCAATTCTGCATGACCTTCCGTAATACCATTAACATGCTGCATAAAAAGCCCAACAGATTCAGCTTCATTATCTAGCCTCTAGATGACTCACTATCTCACTGAAAATCAAAAGAAAAGCATAGTCTTGGCCAGACTTTAGGTGAGCCATCATCAAAGCCACCAATTAGATGAACCTGCATATTATACCCATCCAATGTCAACATCCAAAGTGAGTAACGAGTTAAAAAAGCTAGTTACTAATGTTGTTAGACATCAAGGATTAGAGAAGAATACATCCAACATGGCATCTGAGCTTTGATTGACACCAGATGCCAACATCTGGTCTAGGCCAACATCAACAATATCTGGTGAATCCAAGTGAGCAACAGATGTCCTGTAGCGAAGTCACAATCACAATAGTTAGACTTAAGCAGCATTGTACTGCAAATAATGACGTCCTGTCTAAATAGTTTCTCTTACATTCCACTTTTTTGATTTCTTATGACAATGCCTACACAAGTTGTTGCCTCATCCGTGCCAACCGCCTATGTTCAAGAACAAAGGAAATCTTTAGAACTTCAGCAGAAAAGAGTGGAAATTTTTGAAACTGCAGTCGATCAACATTGTTTGAGAAATGGAATGGTCAAGAAATGTGCTCTTCAACGTAAACACAAACAGAAATTGCAACAACTTTCAGTAAGTTTGAATTATTTTTACATAAATGACCACTTGAGGTGCGGCGTGGGCCATGTGGTTTCTCTTGAACGTGGAATGCTTTGTGCACAGGCCTGCCCTAAGTGACCTATGAAGCAGAAATACATTCAAGAGAAACCTCATGGCCCACCATCAAACATATCCCATTAACTTCTGCTATAGAAGACAGAAATGCTAAGACAGTAATTAAAAGAGAAATAATTTGACAGAGATGTACCGGCGAACTCTTAGTTATGCCAAGACAAAACCTTTAGAATGTCATCACAATTATTCCAGATGATGAAAACGGAAGTTCTCCAAAATGATAAGAATAAGATGAGACACACAATAGTCAGCAGAAAGAGGTTTAACAGATACATCCCAGCAATGCAGATGAATCTCTTAAAGCTATAAACTCTCAGTGGAACAGAGGAGATTTGAGCATGGATGCTTCAATCAAATAGGATCAAGAAAGTGTCCAGAAGAGAGTCCAAGTACTTGAAAGGGAAATAACAAGTGCTAACACAGAACACTTGAATCAGCACACCATAAACATAGTGGACATCTTAGATCCAAGTATATCTGCAAGGTGCACATATGGAATAACATAATGCATTTTACCATCCGGCAGACTGAGGACTGCATTGCCCTCGTGCAAAATATGCAATCTGATCATCCAAATGCATCGCTTTCTCTCTAGGCAATTTAGCTCTCAACTGTTAAGGCTAATTTATGGTCTACTACTTTCCTTTTGTTGAGTATAAAATATTTTTTCTTGCAGCAATGGGCACGTTTAGCACACAGATACTCACAGCCTTGCCCAATTTTATAGTGCTAAACCTGAAAGTTATAGGCAATGCCTTCTCTAACTATTTAGAAAGATTAGGTACTATGCAGCAATCAGCATATTGTGGCACGAAAAGTGGGCGATAAAGACAGATCAGACAAGAAAAGCTCCTTTAAATCAACTTCTCTCCTGCAACTGCAAGTCTGGGACTATGAAAAAAGAAGGAAGAAATCCAAATGGGGAGAAAGGATGAGAAACAAGGTCAGATGTCACTTCAGTAGGATTGTTATAAAAAGCATGAACATACATCGACAAGTGCAGGATCCACAGTTGCATATTCTCTCTGGAAAATGTAAACCCATCTATTATGTCTTGATATACTCAAACTAGAATCTTTAGAAACAGAGAACTTCCTTTCTTCAACATCATTCAATGAAGACGAGGCAGATACCAAAACTGGATGCTCCATTAAAGCCGTCAGGATGTCGTGTTCCTGTTCATAGATGTTCATATTAAGTAGCTACATAAAAACAGAAAATGAGACTTTGTATCCATTGTAATGCAGAGAAAAAGTTTGACTAATGAGATTTCAGATTCAATATTGATAAAGACTCCCTGTGAAACTAATCTTGTTGGTTAATAGGACTCACTAAAAGCAACCTCCTCAGATGTATCTAAATCAATTAAAATTGGTGAATGGCTCATCAGTTAAATATGCATAGACAAAAATATTTGCCTGTGATAAATACTACGCCTGACACTGTTCTAACCACTGGATTAGATTATAAAAATTGATTATGATTATTTATTGTCTAAAAGTTGATAAGATTATCAGTCTGTTTCAACAATAATAATAAATTATCTCAAAGATTACTACGTAATTTAACTAGAATAAAGAAACTGAGCAAGTCAAATGTAACAATCCAAACCAAACAGTCCCTTTTTAATGCAATGTACAGATAACAACAGAAAGTCTTTTTCTCTACTCAACCAAATTGATTCTTTAGACAATCTAAGTCCAAAAGAATTAACAAAATAAGTAATAATCAATCAGCATACCGAAGATGAACAAATTTAACCCCCCAAAAAAAGGATAAAAGGGGAAAAAGGTGGAGTCTTTACAGATTAGAGTGCAACAGCATTACTATAAATCAACCATATATTGCAGAAGACACATTTATCTCAAGGGTAAACTAAAGAAGGGATTAGTTGTAAAAGATTCATAAGTGGGTGCAACCCTCAATTAAGAATGAACTTATACCTGAAGTTGGATTTTTGTTAAATTAAAAAAGAATAAAAGAAGTTAGACTATACCTGAGACTGAGAAGAAAAAGAAGAATCATCTGTAGGAAAAGGAACTCCACCCACAAATATCATAGTGGCGTTTATGTTAGAAAGAGAGAAACAAATTGCAGAGGATTGTCTTTTGAGATGTAGAGCTGAAAATCAAAGGCGCAGAGAATAGAGATAACCAGAGTGGCAACGACTGGACTTCTCTCCTCTCGCCCTTCCTTTGGTCTCAATATTTCTGGTAGAAATTCTATTATATGGAGATTTAAACTTTTGATTTTAAAATATTGGGCAACTGTTTTATAGTATTTGTTTATGGTTTTGATTTTACGGGAAAAAGGCTTAAAAATGCCGGTCCACTAATATAAATGGCCTATCTATGTCATCCATTAAAAAGTTGTCCTATTCATGCCACTAACGTTATACTTTTGGCCTATTTATGCTATTATCTACTAACAGTTCTATTTTCTAATTTTTAAATAATAGTAAGAATTAATTTTTCGACTCCACCTTTGCCACTATCTTTATTATTGGTTCTTCTTTACTTAGCCCTACATTTCTTTTAACCATGATTATGTATAACTAACCATGTCCAACTTGATAAAATCCAACCATCTTTAACCCAACCCCTAATTCCTTGTCACGATCCAAAGTACAATTAATCGTGATGACACCTAACCCAACCTGTTAGGTAAGCCAATTAACAACTATCCTTTTAATGAGATTTTTTTTAGACAAATAAATGGAAAAAAAAACTGAACCTTAATACTTTTACCAAGGTCTAGTAGTACAAAATCATGAGCTTCTTAGATTTAGATTTTTACATATTGAATTGAAATAAACACAACATCGGTTTCAAATAAATACAGATCACTAGACATTGATCTTATCGGGTTGGACGTGGTTAATTATACATAATCAAGGTTAAAAAAAATATAGGGACAAGTAAAGAAGAACCAGTAATATAAAGACACGTGGCAAAGGTGGGGTCGAAAAACTAATTCTTATTATTTAAAAATAAAAAAAATGGAACTGTTAGTCGGCAATGGCATAAATAGGCCAAAAGTATAATGATAGTGACATAAATAGGCCAAAAGTATAACGTTAGTGGCATGAATAGGGCGATCTTTTAACGGATGACATAGGTAGGTCATTTATGTTAGTTGAGTGGTACTTTTAGGCCTTTTTATACGGAGTTCAACTATTTTATTTTGAAAAAAAGGGTGTATTTACAATTTTTTCTTTTTTTATTTATCATTGCTTATTCGAAATTGATTGACTCAATTAATATAATAAATCAGAATAAAATAATTTTAATTTCACAATGAGACGATTTATTCCGAAAATTTAGTTGTTTACATGACAAAGTTATTGATTCTGTCCACAATAACATAATCAATAATAGTAATGCATAGATGTATTATGTTGGTCACGATAGATCATAATGCAAAATGGTGAATATAAATAAATAAATAAAAAATTCAAGCCATGTTGGACTTTTATATAAATCAATGATTTGACATGTTTTCCTTTTAAAGGGAACTACTAGCTATATATCAATTTATAAGTAGCTCATTACAAAAATTGATTGACTCAATTAATATAATAAATCAGAATAAAATAATTTTAATTTCACAGTGAGACGATTTATTCCGAAAAATTAGTTGTTTACATGACAAAGTTATTGATTCTGTCCACAATAACATAATCAATAATAGTAATGCATAGATGTATTATGTTTGTCACGATAGATCATAATGCAAAATGGTGAATATAAATAAATAAATAAAAAATTCAAGCCATGTTGGACTTTTATATAAATCAGTGATTTGACATGTTTTCCTTTTAAAGGGAACTACTAGCTATATGTCAATTTATAAGTAGCTCATTACAAAAATTTGTCAATTCATAAAATATTACCAATGTCAAATATTATTAATACTAGCCAATTAGCTATTTGTAGGGGGAAAAATTCAAATTTTTGCTTTCTTTTGAGTGAATGTTTTTAGAATAGATTTGGTACATCTTAAGGAGCTTGAATCTCAATTTTGGAGTGATTTGGTGAAGTTTTGCGGTGATTTGAATTGAAAATTCGAAGTAAAAACTGAACATGAAAAAAAAAAATATGTGTTGAATACTATGTATCATTTATGTATCACGTATGTATCATATTTGTATAAATTATATATCACATGTACATCGATGTATACCTATGTGTAAGATACATGCATGATACATGTGTCGCAGAAGAATTTTTTAAACTCGATTAACTAGTCCAAATCACCTACAATCTTCCTCAAATTTTGTATAGTGACTTATCTATATGTTTTCAATGAATTTCATTGAAAAAGTTCCTTTTTTGCTTAGATTTTTGGAATATTGTATATTTTTTTTCTATTTCATCACCTTATTTACTACCTCATCCATGAAATTTCCTTTCCGTCTTGCATCTAATGTTGCTAATCACGTTTAAAAATATGGAAGGTGATTTTTGCATGTGATTCTTTGAGAGAAAGAACCTTATTTATTTGATTTTTCAATTTTTATATGTGCTTGACTAGTTTTGGTAAATTTATGACTAATGACTTGAGGTTGGTAAACTGAGATTTATTTGAAACATTTGTGTAAGTTTCCTTTATTCTTCTCTATCAATTTATCTTTTGATAAACAAGTGGCCATTTTAAACAAGTGAGCAAATTAATGAGGCTAGGGGTGTTCATAAAAATCCGAAAAATCGAGCCAAACCGAAAACCAAACCAAACCGACCAAAAAAACCGATACTTTTTGGTTTGGTTTGATTTTATTCAAAAAAAAACCAAAAAAAAAATCGAACCAAACCGACTATAGGATTAGCTATTTCAAATTTATTATTACACTTATATATATATAGGATTATATATATATATGGGACCAAAAAAAATCGAACCATAAATTTTCTGAAACTTTGTGTGTGTGTGTGTGTGTGTGTGTGTGTATATATATATATATATATATAAATGTTAATAGTTTGCACTTTAGTATAGTTCTTTATCTTTACATTCTACTTTGATTGGTAGTTTTCTTTTGTTAAGTGTAAGAATTCATTTCGTGTTAAAAATAATATATATTTAATTGAGTCCTTAAATTATTCATCACTATTTGTTTAAATTATGATCAATATATCTTGGTAAATAATAGATTTCTCAAAGGGCAATTGATTTGATAGTGTTACGTTGAAAATGTGGTCGCCGGGATATGTGTTTGGTAGTGTATGTCTTATATTTAAGAAAAAAACTGACAAAACCCGACATAAACCTAATCGAGGAAAAACCGACTTAATTAGTTTGATTTGGTTTTAATATTTGAAAAACCGACTTACTTGGTTTGGTTTCTTTTTAGGGGAAAACTAATCCAAACCGAACCATGAACACCCCTAAACGAGGCATTCAAGTTTGATGCGGAAAATAATTATGAGTAGAATTAACGGTAGAGTAATCAAGTTAGATTACATCCCTTCTTTACACGCAAGGAAAATAAATAAATAATAATAATAATAATAATAATTGTGTATTAAACTATTAATGAAGGACTTCCTCAAAATAAGTTATAGATTTCTCCGAATAAATGGAACTCAATCCCACAAGTTAATAGTTATTGACAATGGCAACTCATCAATCAAATGGAAGATCTCATGACGAAGACTCAATATGATGATGATATAATAATAATAATAATAAGGGGTGTGTTTGGTATGAATTTTCTAATTTTTCCATGTTTGATTGGCTTAAATATTTTTCTCATCAATTCATTGGAGGAAAATTTTTTCCCTANCCACTCCCATCCCCACCCCCACCTTAGTTCTCTTTTCGTGTTTAGTTCAATTTTGACAACGTAAAATCTGTTTGAATGTCTCTTTTCTTTTTCTTGATTATATAGTTGTAGGATTTTTTTCGCTATTACAAGAAATTTGTGACTACACGTAATCACAAGATATATGGTTATTTCAAAACAATGCTGATATGTAGGCCGTAGATTAGCCCTTATCTGTATTATTAATAATACTTTTTTTCATGTTATAGATAGGGTATTCTTCTTTTTCATTTAAACAAATGAGTATTTTTTTCATGATATAAAAAAAGTTTTTTTTTCATTTTAACAAAATGTACTTTCTTTTCATGATGTAAAAAAATATTTTCTTTCATATCAACAAAATGATATGGTAAAAGTATTTTCTTTTATTTCAAAAAATGATGTAGTAAAAAATATTTTCTTTCATTTCAACAAAATGAGTATTTCCTTTTCATGATGTATTTAGAGGAGGGGAGAGCACATAAAACATGAGGACTTGGGGGAAGGGGGGGGGGTGAGGAGAGTAGCATAAAAAATAATTTCCTAAAAAATATTTTTTAGTCTCTAACCAAACACACCAACCAAACAAGGAAAAATAAGTGATAAAACCACTCATTTTCCATGAAAACATTTTCTAGAAAAATATTTTCCATGAAAAACATTTTCCTTTATAACAAACACACCCAAGATGTCTAATAATTGAATAAGTCCCACCGTAACTTTTTGAGAACATGATGTAACAACAGGAAGAGCATTTGGTCCGAACAAATGCACAAATACTACAATAGAAAGACAAACTCTCCCCTCTCTCTAAGAATACCTACATGAACACAATTACTACAACACCAATTATACCATCGGAACCATCAGACAAAAAATAACCAAATGGATATGAAAGAAATAACAACCATATTCCTACAAGGAAATGTTACTCGACAAGCAGGCAATAAGCCAAACACAGTATTACGATGAGGA